GATCTCCTCTGACACTATTTGGATACCCTTGATTGCCTTCTTTTGCTTAATTGAGATAGCTAAGACTTCCATTACTATGTAAAATAGCAGTGGAAACAGTGAGCATCCTTGCCTGGTTCATGATCTGAGTGGAAATTTTTTTAATTTTACACCATTCAATATGATATTGGCTGTGGGTTTGTTGTAAATGTCCTCTATCAGATTAAGAAATGTCCCTTCTATGCCTGTTTTCTGAAAGGATGCTGGATATTATCAAAGGCTTTTTCTGCATCAGTTGAGGGAATCATATGGTCTTTGTTTTTTCTTTTACTGATGCAGTGTATTTTATTTATAGATTTGCACATGTTGAACCAGCCCTGTAACCCTGGAATAAAACCAACTTGATCATGGTGTACAATTTTATTGATGTGTTGTTGAATTCTGTTTGCTAAGATCTTACTGAATATTTTTGCATCAATATTCATTAATGATATTGGTCTATAATTTTCTTTCTTTGTTGAATCCTTTCCTGGTTTTGCTATCAGGGTGGGAAGGACTGGGCAGTGGGCATCATCTATAAAGTTATCACTTAACCTTGGAATACCTACATGGGTCAATGTGACCCTTCAGGGTTCCTGATTTTACAAAAGTGTTTTTAAAGGCCTTTGCTAACCCCTAGATTTTTTTTTATGTCACCATTTTTCTTTTTCTAGAATAGTGTTTCCTAAACTCTAGTTATTTTAATATTACTGTCAAGATTTTTTCCCTATCTTTAGTTATGCCCTATTATTTTTTAATTTAAGATTTCTTCTAATAGTCAATTCCCTTTGGCCTTGTCCCAAACAATAATAATCATGAAATAATACGATTTTGTGTTTGTTATTTCTCCCAAGACACATTAAAATAAGTGCATAATTTTAAAAATTACAAGCACTATCACAGAGGATAAAAAAATCATTCTCTACACCTCTAGTGGCATGGTTACCATATTTTTTTGTTATTAAATCATAGCTGTGTACATTAATACAGTCATGGGGTACAGTGTGCTGGTTTTATATACAACTTGAAATATTTTCATCAAACTGGTTAACATAGCCTTCATGGCATTTTCTTAGTTATTGTGTTAAGACATTTATATTCTACATTTAGAAAGTTTCACATGTACCCTTGCAAGATGCACCATAGGCATGGTCCCACCAATCACCATCCCTCCACCCATCCTCCTCCCTTCCCTCCTCTCCCTCTCCCCTTTCCCCATATTCTTGGGCTATAATTGGGTTATAGCTTTCATATGAAAGCTATAAATTAGTTTCATAATAAGGCTGAGTACATTGGATACTTTTTCTTCTATTCTTGAGATACTTTGCTAAGAAGAATATGGTTACCACATTTTGAAGGCACATTTTCTAATTACTGCCTTCATGAGTTGAAAAAATTAACTTTGGTCTATTTATTAATTTGAAAGTCTCTTTTTTCTTTTAAAATCAATTATTAGGTGCTTAGTATGTGTTAGGCACTGACCTTGACACATGTTTGCTTACTATTTCATTTAATTCTTTCAATAAATGTTGAGATAGCTTTTCCTATTGCTGCAAGCACTTGCAGCTCATTCCCCTGCCCTCTCCTGTTTCCCCACCCTCTGCCATTCCTCTGCCCTCTCTTCCAGCCTGTTCCCCTGCCCTATGGGCTTTCCCAGCCCATTCCCATACCCCCCCAGAGTCAAAGCACGGGAAGTCCCAAGTTTCAAAACCCCCTCACCAAGTTCTCAGTGGATGAACAATGGTGGAAATCCACCAAGTCTGTATTAATCATGGTTACATACTATACCCATTGTGATTTAAGATATATCCATTGTCAACCAAAGCTATATTAATCATTGTTACATAACTGTAACCATTGCTGTATCTGTGACTATCCAAGGTGTAACCCTTCCCCCAACCAGCCACGTTTCACTTCTGTAGTATGCTTGCACAAAATTTATATAAGGCAACCTGCCCTCTACTGGGATGGGATGTCTGTCTCAGAGCAACAGTCCCCTGCACAGCTTTAATAAATCTCCAATTGAATTGCACATAAGGGGGGTCTGAGTCTATACTTTCAGGTTGCAGGGGTACAACATTTTGGCGGCCCCAGTGAAATTAATCGGACCCCCACCTGAGCCCACTGCTGGCCAACAGCTCTAGGGGAAGTCCTCGGGGGGAAGCTACCCCTCTGCCTCGAGAGCTCTTGGACATGTAGATTTGGGGCACAGGTTCCTAAATTTCTCAATTCAGTAAGTCTGTCTGGATCTCTAGAAAATCTGGGGAACTAGACTGACTGGACACAGTGAAATTCTGTTCCTGAGGCAGAGGGGAGATGTCCCACTATCTCTCTAGTATAGGTTTGGTTTGTTTGTTTTTGTGTTGTCATGATTGCAGCTTCTTATTAGACTGTTTTGATATTAGCAGTCTTTTGGACTGTTTGGATTTGCAGGCTAGTCCTTGAACTTTACTGTACAGTTTTGCTCTGGAATCTTAGTCTGTTTAGCAGCATGCTATTTAAATTTACTCCTATCTTTCTGACATGGCCCTTTTGTACTTCCTCATTACATTTTGACACTGTAGTACAAATAACCCACTTGCATTGAAGATCCTCTCTTTCCGGCAATTAAAAAGTTAATACAAAGTTTGTTAAAACTGTTCCTCTTTTTGCCTGCCAAAACTGTGGTTGCTATGTTACAAATAGCTTTGAGATAAGGTATCAGCTCTCAGCAGGAGACCCAAGGTCAATTACTCATTTGGAACAAAAAAAAAAAAAAGAGAGAGAGTCCTACTTATTTCTTAAAACAACAGCCATTTTCCTTCTGAATTAGCATTATTCTGTTTGGCTATTAAATTCACCTGTGAACCCACCTCCTGAGGTAAGCCACATTAATATCTATTTCTAGCTAGTGTCTGCAGATGTTAATGTAACTATTAACATTATTCTGTTGTGCTTATTTGATATGAATTATTGTAAAATATGTAACTGTTTGTTAAATTCATGTTTAAAATTTGAACAGATTTGTATAAAAACCCTTAGAAACTTCCAAGAGAAGACCAAAGAGACAATAACTTTAAAGAGGGACCCCACTTTGCCAGGCTATTGACCTATCAGAGACTCTCAGAGGTGTGTAAAAGCATGTGTTGGTAGAACAACACAACCAGTGGGGAACCTCAGCCCTACTGACCTGTCAGGGACTCTCAGAAATGTGTGTTAACACCCATCACCAGAAACGCCATTAAAATGAAAACAGGGGTCCAATTAACCCCTGGGGTGTTAGATCACCCACAGGCCTGTTAAAAAGTGTATAAGAATGTCATCTGGTTCTGATTCTAAGAGTACAAGAGTATAAGAGTAAATGTAGACTATTAGACTTTGTTCATGTCGGGCCTGTGTCTGTCTTGTTGTTTTGTGTCATTTGTTCAATGTTTATTAGAAGATTAGTCTCATCCTAAAATAAACAGTCTTGAAAACATCTGTGAGTGGATTGCAGATCTTTTCTTTCAAGGAACACTTCAAGACTTCACTCCTTCTGAAACTGCCTTATTTACCTACTTACTCTTATGTATCTACACACCTCACCTTCTGGTGCATCTTTAGCCTGGCAGTCATTAGTCTCTTCATCCTTATTATTGGTATTAGGCTTGGTGGCCCTGAACCCCCCAGACTAGTCCTCCAGGGAGCACGTGACCTTATTCATACTTCTGTCCCCACCTAGTTCTAATTCTTCTACATCTCCCTAACTCTTGATGCACCTTCCTTGCCGGACTTTGGGCCCCTACTTTTTCCATCGCCTGAGAAAGACTAAAAACACTCTTGAACTGTATAAATACCCCAGCAACTTGTCTCTTCTGTTCTCCCACTATCAAGTGTTGTTACTCAGACTGTCTTTTCTTTCAGAATTCTCATGATTAACATTTACCTGATTGTAATACACTTAGTTGCCATCAGTCAAGAGAAAGTAATTGAGTAAATTTTTATAATAATATTATCCCCTGGTGGGTCCAAAATTCCCACCCTGTTAACTTGCTAATACATTTATTTTGTCATCCAAACATATTTCCTATTAAGCCTTCATTCTCACTTATGCAGGTAACAAGGTTGCCGCTGGCAACAGCAATGACAACTCGTTAAAAATTTAGACATAGTGGCTCGGTGCCTATAGCTCAACTGGCTAAGGCGCCAGCC